ACAGAATAAATTTCCTCCAAAAGACTATCACAGATATAGTGTTCACTACCACATTACAATTTGAAAAAGGCAAAAATCTACAGGGTAAATTTCCTCTCAAAAATGACACTGATACAGTTAACATACAGTAGTCAATTCAAAAGCGACTATCCTTGATATAACAATATTTTACGGAGTAAATTTCCTCCCAAAGATATCACTGATGCAGTTTTCACCACAACAATTACAATTTGAAAATAGCAAAAAATTACAGAGTAAATTTCCTCTCTAAACTCACATTGGTGCATTGTACATTCAGTATTTCAAAGCCAAAGCAACCATCTTTAACATACTGGATTTTACATTCATTATTCGCAGATAAAAAATAAACATCTAAAAATAAATTGATCACTTTTTACAGGAAAAAAAACATACATTTTACATCTTATTTAATAATCGGATTTATGCAGTGAATACGATATAAATCCATTTATCACAGCGCACCACGCGGTATAATGCGCGCGCAATATACGCGCAGAGCATAGGAGCAGTCAGTTATCAACCACCCTCAAAGATACACGTCTTAATTTGAGTACTGCTTAATTGGGGAAATATTCTCAAAAAAATTTTTCCAAAACACTTCTTTGGAGATATGCCTAAGTGCAAGTCATCCGCAACTGTGGTTACTGCTGCAAAAAAGTCCACCAGAAAAGAAAGAGCTGCAACCAAATCGCACCAAAAAGAAGGGGGAAATGACGATAATGCTATTCACGGCACGGAAGAGGGCATTAACGAGCCTGTTAGCTCAATAGGTAAGTCTGACTACTTACCTACGCCTATTGTTAGTATAACTGATGCATTGGGTTGCACGATCCCTTTCAAAACCCGCGAAAAAATACAAAATGGGGAGTATTTAGATCTGGGCGTTCTGTTGGAAACGACGGAAGAAAGGGACAAGAAAAATAAAATTAACCTAGTAGATGGGGAACTGGTTTTGCAAAAAGGCAAAAGTAGGAAAATCACCGATATCGGGAAATGGACAGACGCATTCCTTGTATTTACTAGCATTTACGTCGAAGCTCACCCCGATCAATCACTTGGCTTACTGAAATATATGCACACGATTAGACTGGGCTCCTATAGATCTCCCACCGGCTGGAAATTGTATGACGAGCAATTTAGGCTTAAAAAGGCAAGAAATAGTTCTATGGAATGGGGGCAAATCGACAATGAACTTTGGATGTTATACGTAACTTCTCCAGTTACCATTCCCCAAAAAACAGTTGAACCGTCAAAAGGCATGTGTTTTGATTTTAACTACAAGGGTGCATGTAGTAAACCCTATTGTATTTACGCACATCGTTGTATCAGGTGTGCATCTGACCACCCAATGTCCACTTGTCCTCGTAGCCCAGCCCCTCGCTTTCCCATGCAAAAGCAGCCTTTTCGTTTTCAATCACCAAATCAGCAACCACGCCCAGCGCAAACCCCAAACTATAGATTTCGCTACCCCCAGGGGGCTAAAGCACCTCGGTCATTCTCCAGTAGATATTAATCAACTCTCAATATTGATACAGTCATATCCAAACCATGATGTGGGCAATGAGTTATTAAATGGGTTTAAATTTGGATTTCCCCTTCACTATATAGGCCAACGCACTCACTTGGAGTGTAAAAATTTAATTTCGGCAAACCAGCATCCGAACGAAATTCAGAATATATTGCAAAGTGAAATTGATATGGGTCGCATGGCCGGACCTTTCTACAATATACCACTTTCGAATCTGAGGGTGTCTCCAATAGGCGTCGTGCCAAAATCTAGCGGGGGGTGGCGTTTAATTACTCATCTGTCATATCCACATAACAATAGCGTGAACGACTTCATTGATAAAGAACTTTCATCTGTACACTACTCATCATTCGATAGCGCTATCGAAATGATAAGTCAGCTCGGAAAAGGCGCTTTATTGGGCAAAATGGACATAAAAAGTGCATTTAGACTTTTACCAATTCAACCAGATGATTTTTGTTTACTTAGCTTCAAATTTGAGGATAAATACTACATTGACAAATGTTTGCCATTTGGCTGTTCTATTTCATGCGCTACATTTGAGAAATTCGCGTCCTTTTTGGAATGGACCGTCAGGTCGCAATCTGCTTGCTCACATGTCACACACTATCTTGACGACTTCCTGTTTGCTGGTTCAGCGAAATCTGACGATTGCTCAAGACTCATGAGGCAATTTGGGGAGTTATGTAAAGCACTGGGAATACCTCTTGCCATCGATAAAACTGTCGGACCCGTCACAAAATTAACTTATCTGGGTTTGGAAATTGACACATGTCTCGGGCAAGTCCGCATCCCCAACGAAAAACTAATCAAACTTAAGATCTCGTTGACAGAAATGGCAAATAAATCTAAAGTCACTTTGAAGGAGATGCAATCTCTCGTCGGCCAATTAAACTTTTGCACCAAAGCAGTGCGATCTTCCCGCGCCTTTAATCGCCGGTTTTACGACGCGATGATTGGCGTACAAAGACAGCATCATTTTATCCGCATAACAAAATCCATCAAAGACGATTTGCTCATGTGGCTCAATTTTTTGAACCACTTCAATGGCATATGCTATTTAAATGATGTTGATTGGTTAAGTAGTGATATTCTTCAATTGTATACAGACAGTGCAGGGGGTAAGAACCTAGGGTGCGGGGCATATTTAAACGGTAAATGGGCCCACTTCGCTTGGCCCTCAACATGGGGGGATACGGAAATTTTGAGAGTTTGTTCGCTATTTAGTATACCTATCAATGAAATATAATTTTAGATATAAAGCAGAACATATCCCTGGTTTATGTAATAATATTGCTGATGCTTTGTCTCGTCGACAGTGGACCAAATTCCAGGAACTAGCACCAAAGGAAGATGTAAAGTCAACTCCTATTCCGCTGGTATTTCACTCACTGATATCAGGAGTGAAACCGTTAGATTAATCGACATGGCCACTTCAGAAAACACTAAAGCGGCATACAACAACGGCCTCGATTTATTTTCTAAGTTCAGGTCCGAGTTCCATCTCCGTAACTCTTGGCCTCCATCGCTTGAGGAATTGACAAACTTCGTTGCTTTCCTTTCCGTCAAAGGTTACGCTGTGAGTACTGTCAAAACATATCTAGCAGCAATATCACATAGGATTAAGATTTCCACCTTAGATTTACCAGACTATACTTCACATTTTATTGTTCGGAAAATGGTAGAAGGAATGAAGAGAGAGAGACACTCCAAAGACTCACGTTTACCAATAACGATTCAGCTCCTCCATAAATTAATTAATACATTACCAGCTGTGTGCACATCGAGTTACGAGGCGAGCCTCTTTTCTGCGGCGTTTTCCTTGGCCTTTTTTTGGCTTTCTTCGAGTCGGGGAATTTACAGTAGGCTCGAAAAATTCAAACGCAGCATTACTTAATAACGATCTCGTTATGAATGAGCCTTCATCCTACTTAGAAGTTAACCTTAGGAGGTCAAAGACTGACCAGTACGGCAAAGGAACTCAATTAATTATTCCCGTTATCAGCGGTCCTTACTGTCCGCTATTACTAATGCACAAGTATTTACAACAAAGACCAAGCATTTCTGGTCAATTATTTTGTCATTTCGGCGGTAAACCACTAACTAGATATCAATTTAATTCCGTCTTAAGTAAATGCCTCGCGCGTCTCAGTTTATCTAGATGCAACTATAAATCACACTCCTTTAGAATTGGAGCAGCTACATACTTTCATTCTCAGGGCGTTGATGACGAAACAATTAAAATGTTAGGAAGGTGGAAGTCAGATTGTTATCGTCTATATATTAGGATCCGGCAGTCAAATAGAACGACAGCTTGACACTCTAATCCCTTTTTTCGTTGCAGAACATTATCAAGATATTTGGATCATCGGGTCATCATTAATTCCATGGGCCTTTCTAGCTGCGATCGAATTAGGTTTCACATCTGACCTTAATTTCGACAGGCATAAAATATTGTGGCAAGGTCGAAGAGGAATGCGCTGGAATGGTGTCTTTAAACTTTTAAAACATTTACTTACGTTCATTGATCCACCAAATTTCTTGGTATTACATTGTGGAGCAAACGACCTTGGCCATATGAAGACCATTGAATTAATAGTTGCAATAAAACGTGATTTGAAAAAAATTCAAATGATACTTCCGCATACTAAGATAATTTTGGTCGCAAATGATAACAAGGATTGCCTGGAAACGTGAAGGGAGACCCGATATCGAAAAAAGTAGGGCGCATGTGAATAGCGCAATTGCAAAACATATTCTATTTCATTACAATGGAGGGTACATTAAGCAGTCAAATATCCATCATAGTCCTGACAATTACCGCCCCGACGGGGTACACCTCTCTACGCCTGGTAATAAGTTGTTCCTTGAAAATTTTAAAAGTGGACTCTCAACTATAAACTCCCAAAATAATGTGTATTCATTATGATATGTATCGGTGTGGTCACGGCTGGATATTTGAGTAGGGTGTTAAGCTACCCCCACATTGGTGGCGGCGTGCATAGTTAATGAGTACCTATGCACGTTTGGCGAATTTAGCTTAACACATATCATCTTGACTTGCGCCGCTGTTAACAGGGCGCAACTCCAACATGATTGCGTGGATAATTCTGGAATGGAATACAAGGAATTTGTATATAATTTACATTGAACATTGATTGATTTATTTGAATATTGATTGGCTTAACATAAGCATACAATACATTGATCTGAATGAACTGAATATTGATTTGTGAATATTGTTTGAACATTGATTGATCTAATTGAATATTATTGAGCGAATTGAACATTCATTGATTTAATTGAACATTAATTGATCGTATTGAACACTGATTGATGAATATTGATTGTTGCATAAGGCTGACGCAACTGCAGGAACTTTGAAGCTAAACGTCAGCCTTATCCTGTAAAACTTTGACATGTGTACAGTTAATATTGATTGATTGATTCATTCATTGATTGATTGTTTGTTTGTTTGCTTTTATTGGAGGTGTGCCAAAAACCAATTGGGTCGGCACCCACTGTACACATGTATTTTTCATAAATTGATTTTAACCAGCCGTGGCCATTAAAATGCCAAACTTAAGAAATAAATAATTAGGAAACGTTAAATTCACTGTTGTTTTTGTGTGGAGTCTGTGATAATCGGATTTATGCAGTGAATACGATATAAATCCATTTATCACAGCGCACCACGCGGTATAATGCGCGCGCAATATACACGCAGAGCATAGGAGCAGTCAGTTATCAACCACCCTCAAAGATACACGTCTTAATTTGAGTACTGCTTAATTGGGGAAATATTCTCAAAAACCCTCCCTTCCCAATCCCTAATTTCTTGAATTCGTTTTCTGTGTGTCGAGTTTTTTCTTTCAGGAAATATACTGAAGGTTTGGAGCCACGGCTCATTCTAAGACGTTGCCTAGCCATGTTCGACTTCCCCCCTTTTTCGTCAGAGGTACATGCCAGAGTGATGGACAGTGCCAAGGACCAGGAGGAGGAGTTTCACTTATCCAATCATAATGACACTCGCCGCTGTAAACAGGGCGTAGTTGTTGTTTATGATAATCATTAATCTGCTACACAGCAGCATCGTCACGGCTGGCCCTATCTGCACCCAGTATTGTATGCTACGTAATAACCTTGATAATAGCCAATGGCTGAAAGGCGAATTTAGCTTAACACATATCATCTTGACTTGCGCCGCTGTTAACAGGGCGCAACTCCAACATGATTGCGTGGATAATTCTGGAATGGAATACAAGGAACTTGTATATAATTTACATTGAACATTGATTGATTTATTTGAATATTGATTGGCTTAACATAAGCATACAATACATTGATCTGAATGAACTGAATATTGATTTGTGAATATTGTTTGAACATTGATTGATCTAATTGAATATTATTGAGCGAATTGAACATTCATTGATTTAATTGAACATTAATTGATCGTATTGAACACTGATTGATGAATATTGATTGTTGCATAAGGCTGACGCAACTGCAGGAACTTTGAAGCTAAACGTCAGCCTTATCCTGTAAAACTTTGACATGTGTACAGTTAATATTGATTGATTGATTCATTCATTGATTGATTGTTTGTTTGTTTGCTTTTATTGGAGGTGTGCCAAAAACCAATTGGGTCGGCACCCACTGTACACATGTATTTTTCATAAATTGATTTTAACCAGCCGTGGCCATTAAAATGCCAAACTTAAGAAATAAATAATTAGGAAACGTTAAACTCACTGTTGTTTTTGTGTGGAGTCTGTGATAAATGACTTTCGAGGAACATTTTTATCTCAATATAGTAATGATGAAATACATTATTATTTAATCTATAAAAAAACAACGAAGAATCTATACAAACACATACAGTTTTTTTTTTACTGATTTCAAGGCGTATTCAACGAGGGGAGGGGGTTCAATTCGCATACAGTAGCATGGTGACGTCACAAACAATATCTCAAGGTACGTTGAAAACTGTATTGTCCAGTCTATATCCGCGAAGAAAAAAGGTGAAGGAGGCAAGTCCCTCTCTTGATTATTGTCGAACATTTTGATTTCAAACACATCTATCACATTTACTTTCTTTGACCGAAGCTCCACTTCTATGCTTTCCTTAAGGCTGATGCCATTGAACACTTGCTGAATGCATTTCAAACATGTCCAAAGGAAATTTGGCCGCCATATTTTTAACAAATCCATAGTTGACCTATTGATAAAATTTTAAAATTCGTAAATCATCTCATAAAATTATTTTTAAACTTTCAATTTTTCAAATCCCATGGGCATTTATTTCTTCAGGCACGCCAGAATACATGTTGCGCACCACAGTCGAGCAGTATTGCTTGTACAATTTTTGTAAAATCAAAAAATAATTTTTCCGTTGGTTTTTCGTATGGAAAATTCATTCATCTAAAGAACACGTATATA